CAGTTTGGCCCTGAGGCTGGTGAATGGAGGTAACAGGTGTCAGGGCCGAGTGGAGGTCCTATACCGAGGCTCCTGGGGCACCGTGTGTGATGACTCCTGGGACACCAGTGACGCCAATGTGGTCTGCAGGCAACTGGGCTGTGGCTGGGCCACGTCAGCCCCAGGAAATGCCCGGTTTGGCCAGGGCTCAGGACCCATTGTCCTGGATGACGTGCGCTGCTCAGGACATGAGTCCTACCTGTGGAGCTGCCCCCACAATGGCTGGCTCTCCCACAACTGTCAGCACAGTGAAGACGCTGGTGTCATCTGCTCAGGTGGGTCTCCAAGACCTTGGGCTCCCTCTCTTGGAGTAGATTTTGCTCAAGAAGCAAGATCTCATGATGCTCTGATCTCCTCACTCAGAGCTTTTTCAACCTTTCCTATATTTCTAATATCTCCTTAGCTCTCTGCTAGGAAACAGCATGAGTGTTCATTGCCAGGTTTTGAGGAGGTCAGGCAGGACAATGGCCAAAGTGAAATAAGGGTCACACCTTTGTTCACTGAAGCAGCACAAGCAGAGGGAGACGACGAAAGCGCCAGGTCTTTTCCTTTTAGTGTGGCTGGAAAGGAATAGCTTGGGCCGGTTTGTTCAGCTCAGCTTCTGCTGAGGGCCTCGGGCTACTTGTACTCCTGGCAGAAGAGGATGGGGAACTGGCCTGGGCAGAGGTCACATGGTGAGGGAGGAAGCAAGAGAGGGCAAGAGGGAAGGCCCAGGCTCTTTTCAACCACCAGCTCTTGCTAGGAACTAAGAGAAGAACTCATCGCTCACCAGGAGGGCAGTAAGTTATTCATGAAGGGTGGGTCTCCATGACCCAGACATGGTGCATCAGGCCTCAACTCTAAACTTGGGGATCCAATTGCAATATGACAGTTGGACGTGACAAGCCTCCAAAGTATAGCACCCTGGCTCTCCAGGGTTCCAACTTTCCCCTACTGAAAGATTTTGCATAAGGGTTACATGGATGAAGCACATATAGGGGATGGGGGAGGGACTGTCTCACTGGAAGGAGCCCAGAACCAAAGGCTCCTGCTAGGAACTGCGGTCTTCTGCTTAGGCCCAATAAGGTGGTGTCTTAATAGAGACACAAGGCTAGGAGTGCAGATCTGTGTCTGTCTGTGTCTGGTCTGGGATTTGGGCACTATGAGTCCTTGACCACAACTCCCTCCAGAGCACTGCAGTGTTGTGCCTGTGCACCAGTCTGGTGTGGAGTGTGCAGTTCCCATGAGGTCTGCTGGGCAAAGCCTTATTATGAATGCCTGTGGGCTGGGCTGGAAGATCACAGGCAGGACTTTGGCTGGAGTGGCCTCCTCACATTTTTTGACTCAGGGACTGCTAAGACGTGCAAGGGAGAGTGTTGGTTTTGTGTCAACCTGATTACTATTGGCAGACACAAAGTTAATCACTTTGGAGTTGGCAATAGTGGACAGGATCTGCCTAGACACCTTCCAAGGAGCATCTCTGTGGGGATGTGCATGGCAATACCCCACCCTCTGTGATGGAGACCTAGGGTGGACTGAAGGCTTGACCTGTCTAGTTCCTTCCACCTTTGTTCTGGTTTTGCCAGCTTCGTAGTGCATCTGATCTGACCTCCTCTTTCTCACAGCTGCCCAGTCCTGGTCGACGCCCAGGCCAGGTGATTCCCCAGTGTCCTTCCTTGGGATGTCCCTCTTCTTTCTGCACAATTATCCCTTTCTGCACTCCACCCTGTCTCTTATACACATCTAGATGTGTATAAGAGACAGCCCTTTCTGCACTCCACAGAGCCCTCATTCTTCTCAGAGTGGATACTTCGGGGCATATGATTTTCCCTTGCTCTGTAACTGAGACCCCAGCACAGTGCTTCAACAGACCTAGGGTTCAGGAGGCTTCTGTCTTCTGTTCCATTTATCTCAGCTTTCGTGAAGCAGTTTCATATTGTCCCAATGACCAACCCTTAGAGGTTTAGAAAGTGGCCTCATATTTAGTTAGCTTTGATCCTTTTCTATTCAGAGCTGATATGACCTTCCTGAGAATTGAGTGATTGCCAAAGTCTCCTGGGAAGCCAATATCAGTCAATAAACATGACTTCTGCCATGGGCAAGCAATGTCAGTGCAGGCCTGATACCTCCATTCCTCATTCCTTCAAACACCCCAGATTCTGCAGGGCCACATCTGCATCCAGAAGAGGCATAGGCCATGCTCGGGCAGGGAGAGGGATAATAAATATTTCTGGCAATTCCACGTACCAGGAGATTTGATACCCCTTGGTTAGCTCCTTGGTTCCCCTAACATTTTAGCTCGAACTAGTAGAGTCTCAGCAATGGTGTCAAATATGCCTGTTAGTCCATGTGTCAGTGCATGGAACAGGCTAACCCTTTGTGACTGAGAAGAGGACATCCCACACTTCAGAGATAGGAGGGATCGAACTAGTCTTCTGTCAGGCCTATGTCCCTTGCCGAGCTTGCTGAGCTGAAGACTTGGGCAGACACATAGGGAACAAGTGGCAGGAACCAGAAGTGGGGTAGTTTTCATGATGCTTGCCTTGTCCGGAGACCTTTCCTTTTGGGGCTTTTCACCCTCAGGTTTAACTCTAGCCTTGTCTTTGTTACAATTTATAGACGCGTTGCCAACCACCACCTTATCGGCATCGACAGTAGGTAAATAGTCCTCTCACTCCTCCCTAGGGCTCGCTCTCTACCTCTGGACAAATGTTTTGTCTGAAAATGATAGAATGAGGGTCAAGGAGGGCCCCTCTCTTTTTCATGTCCCTGCGGGGTGCGGGGGAGGAAGGTAGAGTCTGTGGGGACCCAGCTCTGGGTCTGATGTTGGAGGCTGGAGGTTGCTGGTGACTTGTCTCCTGTGGAATCCTGTTCCAACTGGTCAGGAAAGATCCTCATCCAGGTGCTGAGGAAAAGCCCTGGAGGATTCCCTAATCCTACTAAGACCTCATTCCTGTCCCTCAGTCCATGCATTGCAGAGGTGTGAAAAGTCAGTGAAAGTGACTGTCCCCGCACCTTTCTGGCCAAGGCCTTGTCATACCTGTGAAATTTTCAGAAGCCAGAAAGGACCATAGAATTGCCACCAAGCTCCTGAGCATGGGGAGGGTCTCGCCTGCCAACTGTAGCTGTGTAGCTCTGTCCTGGGTGTGCCCAAGTTAGAGAATGGAGTATCCATTCCTTTTAACTCCAGTGGGATCACAGGTGCTTCCCCAAAACTTGAGCCTTCATAAACCCAGACAGAAAAGTGTGTCACTGCTCCTTCAACTTTGATGAAGCTGAATCTCTGGTTGCAGTCATATTCAAAGGTGACTGCCTGCTCAGGTGACTTTAGCCATTAGGATGTGCCTTGAGTGTGGAACATTCCTTAGATCCCTGACCTCCTGATAGGGATGGATGAAGGGTTCTTGTGTTCCCCTGTAGGACCTGAATCCAGTTTGGCCCTGAGGCTGGTGAATGGAGGTGACAGGTGTCAGGGCCGAGTGGAGGTCCTATACCGAGGCTCCTGGGGCACCGTGTGTGATGACTCCTGGGACACCAGTGACGCCAATGTGGTCTGCAGGCAGCTGGGCTGTGGCTGGGCCACATCAGCCCCAGGAAATGCCCGGTTTGGCCAGGGCTCAGGACCCATTGTCCTGGATGATGTGCGCTGCTCAGGACAGGAGTCCTACCTGTGGAGCTGCCCCCACAGAGGCTGGCTCTCCCACAACTGTGGCCATCATGAAGACGCTGGTGTCATCTGCTCAGGTGGGCCTCCAACACCTTGGGTTCCCTCTCCTAGACTGGAGTTTGCTTAGGAAGAAAATCCTAATTACATTCTGATCTCCTCACTCAAAGCTTCTTCTATGTTTCCCGTATTTATGCAGTCTTGTTAGCTCTCTGCTAAGAATCTGTATGAATTTCGCTATAGGGCCTGGTGTTCCTGTGGTCACTTAGGACAGGGGACCAAACTCAAACAACCCAGACTTTCTCCCTTTGTTGAGGCAGTGTGAGGAAGAGGCAGAAGAGAAAAGTGCTGGCTCCCCAGGGTTCCATTTCTTCCCTGCTGAGTAGCACTGGGTGAGGGTATCATGGACGCAGGACAGACAGCAAGGCAGGGGAGGAATCCTCTAGCTGCGAGGAACTTTGAACTAAAAATGCTTGTCTGGAAGTGGGTTCTCAGCTGAGACCCAGTGAGGACGTCTGCAAATAGAGGCTCAAGGGTTAGGAATGTAAATGTGTGTCTCTTCATGTCAGGCCTGGGTTGTGTGGGGTTGGAGTTCTTGACCTCAGCTCCTCTTAGAACGCTGCTGAGCATTGCCTGTGCCCCAGGTCTGGTGTGGGGAGGGCAGCCCACATGAGGCCGGCCAGGCATGGCCTTGTTATTGCCTCTGGTCCGGGCTGGAAGATCACACAAGGGATTTTGGCTGGAGTGGCTTCCTCAGCCTTGTTGACTCAGAAATGCCTAAGACGTGCAAGGGAGAGGGTGGGTTTGGGGTCATCCTGGTTACCCTGGGCAGACACAAAATTAATCACCTCAGAGCTGGCAATAGTGGACAGGATCTGCCTCGACCCCTTACACGGTACCTCTCTGTGGGGATGGCATGGCAATGTCCCTGCCTGTGTGATCGGAACTAGGATGGACTGAGTGTCACACTTGCCCATTTCTTTCCCTCGTTCCAGTTTTGCAGACTTCTGTGTAACGTGCCTGATCTGACCTTCTCTTCTCTTTCTCACAGTTTCCCAGTCCCAGTCGACACCCGGTCCAGGTAAGTTTCCAGTGTCCTTCCTCAAAACGTCCCTTCTCTTTCTGCCCAGTTACCTCTTCCCCACTCCACAGAGCTCTCCTGTTTCTGTCTGTGGATACTGTGGAGCATATTATTTCTACCCTCAACACCGGCTATGTAACTGAGACCCCAGCACAACGCTTTTTAAACACACGTCGGATTCAGGAGGCTTCTGTCTTCTTTTCAACCCCTCTCACCTTAATGAAACAGTTTCAAACTGTCCCAGTGGACAACCCTTACAGGTTCAGGAATTGGCCCGTGTTTAATCAGCTTTGGTCCTTTTATATTCAGGACTCACGTATAGTTTCTGAAAATTGAGGGTGTCACCTTCTGAACTGTTCAAGGCATCGTCAGGGCAGGCTCAATACCCCCATCCATCGCTGCTGGAAAAATTCCAAGATTATGATGGGCCGCATTTGTATCCAAAATAGGCAGAGTTTGTGCTTGGGCAGGGAAAGGGATAATAAAGGTTTGTGGTGTCTCTGCTTAGCCAGAAACCTGATTCCTGATTGTCCCCTGGGAAGCCCCTGGTTCCCCTAACATTTTAGCTTCCAGTGTACGAGCCTCAGCAATGGCGTCTGATATCCTAGTCAGTCCATGCATCAGCAGATGTGGGATGGCATGGTGGGGAGCATCCCCTAACACATAGAAAGATACCTCAGGATTAGAGAAATGGAGGGCTCAGTCTGGTCTCCAGCAGGACCTTTGCCCCTGGATGAGTTCACAGCAGAGGAGACCTGGGCAGACACATGGGAAGCAAGTGGCAGGAACAGGAAGTGGAATTGTTTCCAGTTTGATTCCCCCTCCCACGGAACCTTTTGTTCTGGGCCTTTTCCCTTCAAGTCTAATTCTGTCTTTTTTCTTTGTTGCAATTTACAGACACTTGGCTAACCTCACCTGCGTCAACAGCAGGTAAATAATCCTCTCACCCCTCCCTAGGGCTCACTATCTCTGGACATATTTTGTGTTTCAAACTGATAGGATGCGGCTCAAGGTGGGCCCCTCTCTTTCATGTCCCTGTGGGTTGCGTGGGAGGAAGGTGGAGTCTCTGGTGAGCCAGTCCTGGGTCTGATGTTGGAGGCTGGAGGCTGCTGGTGATCTGTCTCTCATGGGACCCTGTTCCAAGTGTTCGGGAATGATTCTCATCCAGGTGCTCAGGACAAGCACTGGAGGGCTCCCTAATACTGTAGGGACCTCATTCCTGGCCTTCTGACCATGCACTGCAGACCTGCAAAAGTGCGTGAAAATTTCTATCCGTGCAGCTCTCTGGCCATGGCCCCGCTATCCCTGGCAATTTGCCAGAAACCAGAGAGGACAGCATGGGTGCCACCAAACTCTTGAACATGGGGCCAGCATGGGCCTGCCCTCTGGAACTGTGGAGCTCCATCCTGTGTGTGCCCAGAGTAGGGAGTGGGGATACCATTCCTGTCACCTCAACTGGGGTCACAGATGATTCCCCAAACTCTGAGCCTCCATAAACCCGGGCAGCATAGTACATCACCTCTCCTTCCCCTGTGATAAAGCTGAACGTCTGGTAGCAGTAATATACAATCCTTGATAGGGATGGATGAAGGGTTCTTGTGTTCCCCTGTAGGATCTGAATCCAGTTTGGCCCTGAGGCTGGTGAATGGAGGTGACAGGTGTCAGGGCCGAGTGGAGGTCCTATACCAAGGCTCCTAGGGCACCGTGTGT